TTTTCCGGTATCTGGCATTAGCCATTGTCTTATAAATGTCCCGGTCATGATGTACTTCAGATCCGCTATTTTCAGCGGTTTTCTTCGCACTTTTCCCCGTAACTGCACGCTGGATGATGCCAGGCGTCTGCAGTCTGGCCACAATGTTGCAGACAACAGACCTGGATGTCGCAAGACGCGTAGAATTCCGTCTTATCGCAGCCTTGCTGGTGCTGCTTTATGGTTACGAGATGGAGTGACGGAAGCTCTGTGAGGCGCAGCCCGTGCAACCCTTGGCTACGCCACTGTTTCAAACACGGTCGTGATATCCGTTTTTGTCGAAAAGTACTTGAAGTATGATAATGCGGAACGAAAGCATCCAGCCCTGTTGCGTCATGGCGCAGTCACGGCGTCACATCCAGCCAGTCACAGACCGACGGCGGCGCCTGGCAGCCGGGCCGTGCCATTGTTGGTGTGGTTGTCTGGATCCGGGTCATGTCACAGTATCGGGATATCAAGGCGCCTGTCGCCGAGCTGCATTGGAGCGTGGGAACTGGACCGTGATGGGCCTCAACTCGATCGTGATTGGCAATATATCGTGGCGCACTACGAACTTTGTCAGTTCAAAGCCCTTGCCAATGTGAGACACTCTCCCCAGCTGCGGGGGCGCTGGCGAGTGGGTGAGGTTGTGATGCGTTGCCGCTGATTGGGTGTTCCAGGAGCGGCGGCACCCCCGGCGGCTCACCCCGGACGCGGATCAGAGACGCCGCGGCCCGCGAGCCTCGGCTCACACGGAGCTCGCTCGCCCAGCGGCCCGGCCGACGGAGGGCAAATTCACGCGAGAAGAGCCCCTGTGAACGGCGGGGGTGAGGATGGCTGTCCAGTTTGAGGCACTGGTGTACTGCATGTCGCGATTGCAGCCGGTACAGTGTGACTCGGGGTGTTCGCTACACACCACTCTGTAGCAGTGAACAACTTTGAACATGGTGTATTCTAGTCACGTATGTGTCCAAAGGTATAAACCAATACGTTTAAGTCCACGCCGGTTGTGCCCAGCATCCATCAAAAATAGAGCCGTTTATGTTGAAACATCTGCCTCGACGTCGTTCGGGATCAGACCACGCCTTAACAAAAATAAGTTTTTCAAACAAAACTGAAATATATGCATCCAAATCTCAATTGATCAGGTGTTCTGGAAACTTGTGCATCTGCGGTTTTACCACGCCTCACGGCAGTAGAGTTCGGGGAGCAGCTGTCTACATTCGGTGGCAGCGCCGGGGCCACGCGCCGATGGTAAGGCCGACGCGCCGATGTCGTCAGCGCCGGAAAAACTGCAAACAGGTGCGCTTCGCCAGCGCTGTATCGTTGGAGTTGCAAGACAGCACGGCGAGCCTGCGCGTCTGTGTGGCGCTGGGCTGGTGTGTTGTGCTGGCGCGCTGGCAGCTGTGGCAGTATAGAAGCCGTGCCGCAATGCGATCTTTTGGGGACACTCCGTCTGTTAAGGTCACTAAACGCTCAGAATGTCCTGCAACTCCGCCTGCGCAGGTTAGAAGCGTCCCGATACACAAAGAGTCATATGCTACGTTAAAACGCGCCCGTCATCATGTCAGCGTTTACTTGTCTGCGCTGCGCCCGTCTGTCCTGCTGCAGCGCCCGCAACCCCGTTCTGTATGCTTGCCGGTTCTCATGCTGCCGGAGGCCGCCTCAGAACCAAGAACGCGACTCGTTCTACTGAAGCAAAAATGCCGACATCAGATACCCGCGCGAATATATAAACATACATCACAGATTTACTCGCCAGCACATGCGCATATCAACTCACAAAGGTCAAGGATACTGCATCGCAGCGAATAATTCACCTGCCAGCGAAACTAAAGGTCATCCCAGGCTACAGCCGCCATCGTCTCGGACGATCGAACAACGCGCTAAAAGGCATTGAAAGGTGACTGCATACGAGTCGAGCGCTCCTGGGCTGCTGAGCAGAGCAAGGCTCACGAGCTCCCAAACAGCCAGCGAGGACAGTTCTACACCACGCCATCAGATAACGGGCACCGACAGCGACCGGAGCCGTGAGCCGACGGGCGGCGCCAGGCCGCCTGCGTCCACGTTTGATTATCTGCCCGCCGACGCAGCCGCGCGGTCGCTCGTGGCTGTCGGACGGCGCGCGTCGCCGAGCGCCAGCGGTCACAAACTCGTCTTCCCGAGCAGACGCACTCGTCTAAAGCCTCAAGTAGGGGCTGTCGTGGTGGCGTCCCTTTGGAGGGAACGTCCGGACAGCCAGCTGCGGTGTGAGCCGCACGGTAACCACAACGTC